GGGGCCTGTTGGGAAAACCACAAGGTAGGGAGCCCCAGATCTTGGAAGAGGAGCAGGGCAGTGGGAAATGCCAGGGCTGTTCCGACCAGCTCAGCACGGACGAGGAGGAGCCCTGGTCCTGGGCTCTTTCTCGTCTTCCCTAGGAGTTGAACAAATCATGAAGAGCTCTCCTTAGACTATTTTACTGTCTGAGAACTTTAACACCCCGACTCTGGTTGTCTCTCTGTGGGAAGAAAATACTACAGTACTGGGGCAGCTCACACTACCAGATTCAATGAATTCTGCAGTCAGATTTTCTGTTGGGCAAGTGTGTGAAATTGGTATCATAAATGCTGGTAACTTTGTGGATGGATGCATGAATGAATTCAGGAATGGAGCAAATTATAAGTAGGAGCAACTCAGTTGTAGTCAGTGTGCTAAGCGCCATCCTGAGACATAAAGAGAGCATAGAGGAAGGACATCTGATTATGCTGGGGGGTGGGCAGTCAGGGAGGACTTCCTGGAGGTGGTGACACATGAAGTGAGTTTTGAAGTAGGAGCTGTTATGGGCCAGATAAAGAATGGGGGAATAAAGGTATCTGGAAAGCAAGAAGGCCCAGAGGGTGGCATCAGCAGGTGGCTCAGCATGCAAGGGTCAGGGTGCTGCTGGGTTTGGCGGGGTCAAAGGTTGTGTGTGAGGGACGTGGCAGCAGGTGAGGCTGGGGAGACGAGCAGGCGCCAGGTCCTGGAAGGAGCCTGCACTTTACTGAAGCACTGTGGTGCCTTCAGAGGAGCTCAAGTATGAGGCGGCTGTGTTCAGAGTCACACCTGGGAGAGCGCCACCTGGCTGCGATGTGGAGGATGGATTCGAAGAGGCAGGACTGGGGGCTTTCGAAGTGATTCTGGTGAGAGAAGACAAGGTCTGCCCTAAAGAGCGAGGCGGGGACAGATGTGAGTCAAGGTGGCAGCATGTTCTCAGCTCCTTCCTCCTCCCCATTCAGCCTGGTTTCCTCTTGTCTTGGCTCTCTGTCTCTAAAGGGTCCCAGATGTTTCCTGATGCCTTGGTCTCTTCTATCTGGGCGCAAAGCCTGGTGTTTTAAGAGGGCTAGGGGAGAGAAATCCCTGAACCCAAAGGGAGAGCCTTTTCTGTGGTGGCCTTTTGGGGACATGCATGGCTTGCTCACTTAGTGTGTGTAGACTGTCCCTGCGTTCTTATCAGGACCAGCTCGATCACCTTTAAGGTACAGCCATCAGACGGAAGCTGGAAGAACAAGGTCTGGCTGTTGGGATATGTGGAATCAGAGGGAGCTCGCACATTCTCTCTGCTCTTCTCAGAGGACGGTCATGGTAAAACCAGCTGCTATGAGGCTCCTCAGCATTCCTTCCTTCTTCCCGACACCCACCCTCCGCACTTGCCTCAAGTCCACATACACCTGGGGAAGCGTTTTGGGGATTCCAGGCTCAGCGTTCACCTGGAGCTCTCTGGAAGCTCTGAGCTGCCGATGCAGGTGGCCCTGGACCCGTTCCAGGCCTGGGAGGGCTGCGGGGAGGGCAGGAGTTCTCTGCTTCTCGCCGGTGTGTTGCAATCAGTTGTACTTTGCCTGGGTCAATGGGCAGAGTCACGTTGCTGTGTGACAGGCACCTCTGAGGAGGGCTGCCTTTCAGGTTTCCAAGAAACCGAGGCCTGTGGATGTCATTGTTTCAAGTGATGCGGAGGAGTGGAGGCACTTGGGGCTAGATGTCTGAAGGTGAGTCCAAGGATGCCACTGCCCCAGGCCTTCGTGCCTCACCTGTCAAGGGGGATAGATACTGACTAGTGCTCTCCACACCGGGTTTCGTGACGATGCACTAGGTTCGTGCGTGTGTAAGATCCTCGTCGGCCCTCCCACGGACTCTGAAGGTATCAGTGGGTCCTATTCATTTCCGTATCCCCAGCGCCAAGCACGGTGCATGGCTGACTCCAGTGTTTGTTGACTGAGCGCAAGAATGGGCAGGAAGTACAGGGCACGGGAAAGCCTGAAAAATTCAAAACTACCTCGAACCTGTTCAACCACGAGGAAGCAGATTTCTGCACGTGCTCCCATATCTACCTGTGTTTAGGTAGAAGTGGAATGGGCGAATGCTTGTGAGGAAGCATTTTAAAATGCAAATTAACCGAAGGGATATTGCCCTTCCCGCCTTTCCCTTCTCATCAATTCTTGGCAGTACGTTTGGTGCCAGATACTTTTCTGTGGGAGTTGTGAGGAATGATAGGTCATTACTTTCTATGCCCCATCCATTGATACATTTCGGATAAAAGGGCCCTTTCCACCAGGGGAATTGTTTTGTTTCCTATTCTTCTGTGCTTATGCTCCAGAAGAGAACTGACTTTGGAGTCAGATTATTCTCGTTTTAATCCCGGCTCCCCCACTTTCTGCCCCTTTGACCTCAGTTTAGCCATGGAATCTCTCTGGGTCTCAGTTTCTTTATCTGTGAAGCGGGGATATGCGGTGGCCATGATCATGCATGTGCCTTGCAGCCCTCCAACGGAGTCCTTACTATCCACCTTCTGCAGATAAGGAAACAGAGAAACTAAGTGGTCAACCAGACAGTGATGGCTTTGGGACTGAAACTCCAGTCTTTGCTCCTTGTGCTTTGGAAACTTGGGATTGGTGGATTCTATTCAGACTCTGCTCCCAGGGACAGTCTCTTAGCAAACTGGCATCAGGAACTGGTCTGAGAAAGACCTTTGTCAGGCCCAATTCTGCTCAGCCTCAGGAATGCTAGAAGCCCTGGAAACATCCATGATGCAAGTCAGTGAAGGAGACCCAGCTCCAGCTGACCTCTGAGCTCAAGGCCATCATTGGGCTTCCTCCTAGAGTCTGTCACCTGATGCTGTGGGAGGATGTTCCCTAAGTAGGCTACCAAACCCCCAAAGGTGGGAGGGACTCTGACTTATCCCCACCATAGCACAGCGCCTCCTGCTCACTCGGCCACTACATAAATGCTTGTTATTGAGGGTGGTGGTGATTCTGATGGGCCTTTTGTTTACAGTCTGAAGGAGTTAACAACAACAACAGAAAACAAACATTTGCTCTATGCCAGGCACTGTGCCAAGAAATGGAGATCCAACAATCAAAAGACAAGCTTTCAGACTCCCAGGGATTTCTAGGCTCGTGGGGAGACGGGCATGCCGGGTCTGCCTGGAGAGTCCAGGACGACTTCACAGAGGAGGCAGATTTGAGCTCACACTGAGGAGGGTGAGAGTTTCCCAGGCAGGTGAAGGTGGGGAAGGGGCTGCTGGCCAAAGGAACATCCATGAATTGTGGAGGCATGAACAGAGCATTGCTGTGTTGGAGCGATGAGGTTGGTGGTCCTGGGAAGGGTGAGAGGCACAGGGGACTGAGATACAGCAGGGAGGGTGAAGGAGTGGGAAGTGTGGGGGCAAGGTTGAAAGAAAGCTGTCCTAGACAAGACGCACCTCAGTATCAACAGGGGCCGGTAGGAACCTGAGAGTCATGTTTTGGGGAAAGGATTAGCAAGAACATGATGCCCAGGGTGCTGATTCTGATTCTTAAATCTTTCAGTGAGGGATTCCAGACAGTTTTGTGTTCAGTGAGTCGGGAGGAAATCTAACATTTAATGATTTTATTTGCTAGAATCATGTCCAATAAAAGGCTGACGTTCCGCTTGGTTTTCAAAGAGAAAAGCTGATCTAGAGGCTCCAGGAGGAAAGGCAGATGTTTACAGACCTGGATTCCTCGAGGTGGCCACCCTTCTGGCCGGATGTCATCAGGATCATTGGTGTTCTGAACAGGGAAGGAGTGACCTTCCCGTGCTTTTATTTATCTTGAGTTTCCCAAGGCAGGGAGTGAGCAGTCCGCTCTCTTGAGTGGGATTGTTTGCTCCACTTAGGTAATTAGCTAATACCATCTCCTAAAACCTTATTTACACAACAGCCAGGCTGCACTATGACAGAAGCCATAATAAACATTAGTGTACTAAAGGCAGAGCAAAATCAAATGCGTTGCTGTTCCTTGCTGCATAAGACAGAGTTCCGAAGTGCATGAGAGCATCACGTGTGCAACAAGACCCTGCTCTTCCTGCCATTCTAGAAAAGCCTCCAGCTTCACATATTTATTTCCAAGGTAATGAAATTGACCTTCTGGAGACCAGGGACCTTTGAGAATCCAATATGTTCTCAAAACGAAGGGGAAATTTCTTTTCCAATGGCTTCTTACTGGAGGAAAATAGAAGAAAAATTCTGTCACTAAGGTCATCGCGTTTTCTACCTAGAAATGTGCTTAAAATCTATTTTATTATTCTTATGTTTTTCCAGGAAACCAAGTTACTTGGCATGAAACATCGCTCATTGTTTCCTTCCCTCAGTCCAGTCACCTGTTCTTTTGTTTTTCACTTTGGTCGTCTTCTGAAACCCCAACTTTTTTTTTACTATGTCTGAGTTTTGACTTGTCTGCCCGATAGCAAGCTTGCCCTTCTTCTTCCCTTTGTTTTGTGACCACGACCCAGGATGGAAGGGACTTTGAAACTCGTTAGACGTTCATCTCCTCTCTGCTCTTGGTATCCTCCAGTCCTCAGTACGTGGACAGAGTAGCTGGGCATCCATCCCTTATCTATTCCCTCTCTGAGTTGCACAACACGTCTGTTTTTCAAGTATGAAGGTTTGTCCTGCATCCTAGACATTGTTTAACCAAGGAAGCTTGAGAGAAGAGATGAATTATAAATCACGGCGACCTGACTTTCAAAACTGGACCCTTGTAGAGAAATATAAGAATTTTAAACTCAGTTCCTACTACTTTTTTTTGAAACACCAGAACTCCTGGTGCTCCTTTTCTAAGAACTCAAGCAGGCACCTCGCAACTGATCAGATCCCCTCACCGCCCGGCTTGGCGAGCCAGGTTTTCATGCTCCCGTTTGAAAGCTGGCTCGAGAAAGACATCTGTGCTTTGTTTCTGACGAGTTCCGTGTCTTGTATTTATCAACAAACTCTCTCTCCCCCTGTCCCCCGCCCTGTTTCTCAGTGGCCGTTCCGGCAGCAGCACTCCCTGTGTGCCAGCCCAAGGGGGCCACTAACGGGCACTACGCCGCCCCACGCCTCTCCATCTCCTCCCGAGCCACGGTGGTAGCCAGGATGGAAGGCGCCTCCCAGGGGGGCCTGCAGACCGTCATGAAGTGGAAAACAGTCGTCGCAATCTTTGTGGTCGTGGTGGTCTACCTCGTCACCGGCGGTCTGGTCTTCCGAGCATTGGAACAGCCCTTTGAGAGCAGCCAGAAGAATACCATCGCCTTGGAGAAGGCGGAGTTCCTGCGGGATCATATCTGCGTGAGCCCACAGGAGCTGGAGACGCTGATCCAGGTGAGCGGGGAGCGAGTCAGCCACAGAGCAGCCTGCAGGGAGAAGGGGCAACTTGGGTTTTGTCCTTCGGGCTCACTGCGTTTTGCCTTTGGTTGCGATGCTCCTGATGGTCAGGGAGGGCCTCTCCGGGGAGGTGACGTCTGAGCTGGGACCTCAAAGGAGACAGAGAGTGAGGCATGTGATGATGTGCGGGAAGGGGGGCCACGCATGCCACAGCCTCGATGCCGTGACGTTAGGAGCAGGCTGGGTTTCACATCACCTGCTTTTGGATGAGGTGGCTGGAGGCAGGAGTAGGCGAAAGGGCTTTGGATCTTCAAATTCGAGTCCATCTCTTTGTGCTGATCAAGTTCCTGATTCTGAAGTCTGTGTGAGACGCTGGGCCAAGAGGCTGCCCTTAGAAGCCAAAGAAGGAATTTTAAATAAGCAGGGATGTGTTAACCTGTCCCAGGTCAATGAGAATGGAGTAAAGATCACCAGAGGGGGGGATGGGAGGCTGTTGGTGACTTGACAGGGCCGTTTTGGTGGATTTATGGGGATGAAATAATAAGGACAGCAGTAGTAGTAATAATCAAACTAGGATTGCTGTTTTTGAACACTTATTGCATCAGGCACTGTGCTAAGGTCCTTGCATACCTTAGATATTAAGAAAAAAATATCCATAAAAAGATGGAGGCAGAGAACTTTGGGCTACCACCTAGAGAAGCAGGGCAATGAAAGCAGGAGTGGGGTAGCTGGGAGGGCCATGGGAGACAGAGTCATCTCAGGTGGTGTGGTGGGAGCAAATGAAACAGGAGGCTCCAGAAGCCTGGGGAGGGCGGGGAGCCATGTCCCAGAGGGAGGAAGGGCAGTGGTTGGGAGCCCAGTTGGGGGGCTTCATTGTGCAGGAGATGGAGGATGGCTGCCTCAGAGACTGAGGTTTGAGTTCCTATCCTACACGTGCTCCTGAATCAGGAAGTGTAGGTCCTGGGTGGAAGGCGGTGACATTTATGGAGGCAAGGGAGAGTCATATCTTTCCAGGGGTTCTAAAGTTTGCAAGGCAGAGGGATGAAAAAGATGGCTCCCGCGACTCCATCTGCTCTGGGGTTATCTGCACTAAATTCTAAGGGCTACTGCAATCCAGGATATTGCAGGATTTGCAAGACTGACCTGGCTATTTGTATATTTATTTCAAACTACATTGATAGGCTAGGAGAATTATGGGGCTCCTTATGATCTGGAACCTTCATAGCAATTGTATTCCTTTAAAGAAATTTTGATAATCTGACTTGACTTTTATAAATAAATAGAAATACACATTCTCCCCACCCCCCTGGGAATAAATATGATTTCATATCTGTGATCCTATAATTTTTATTAAGAAAGAAAACTTTAAAATGCAAAAATCTAAGGGCAGTATTTCATATTATTCTTTCTTTGATAGCTTCGTCTTTTTTTTCCCTCCCTTTATGAGAAAATGCTATCACATTTATGATGATGGGAGTGTTGTACCAATATGTGCCAGATTTAAGGCCTAGAATGTCACAGAAGATGGGGGAAACAATTCCGGAGTAATTTTAAGTAAGAACGGAATTATACATGTTATTGTGATATGTGGTGAGATCCTTTCTCTTTAGTTGCAATACATATAAAAACCTAAAAAGTGGTCCGAATTGAATCTAGAGTCATGCTTGCATTTTCCTTCCTTAGACAGTGAGGTCTTGAGGAAAAAGATTATGTCATATTATCTTTGCATCCATGTGTAGCCTATGCATTGCTTTGCATCTAATTATTGCCCAATAGAGAAATCCTTTTGGATTGAGATATCAAACTAAATCTATAACATTGGTGATACCATGAGATATCTGAGATTTTTCATGCATTGGTGTATTTATTTATGTATTGCCCATTCTTTGGCTCTCTTCTTCATGAAAGAGCTTAGAGGCCAGAATGGACAGGATCGGGGGGCATGTAGAGATTCTAATTCTGGTGTTGCCATTAAAACCTGTCCCCTACTTTGACCTCAAAAGTTTCTCTGGGAAATGAGGTGTGTGTGTGTGTGTGTGTGTGTATGTGTGTGTGTGCATGACACACATACACATCCTTAAGGTCATTTTTGTAACAATTAAGAACTACCCTGTATTAGACATCTGTTATAAGCCAGATACGTTATACTCATTATCTCATTTAATCATTCCAACAATCCTCTAAGTTGGCACTATCACACCCATTTTATAGGTGAGGAAGCCGATTCTAAAGTAGGTAGAGTAACTTTCCAACCCCCAAAGTGGCCAGGCTGGGGTTCAAAGTGTGGTCTGTCTGACCTTGCCTTTCCTCCCCCAATGAGTCTACAAGGTCTTTAGGTAGGTCTTGCTTTACATAAACTCAGCTCTCTCTTAAACATTTGCTTTGTGTTTAACAGTTTCCAGAATTTTAACAGAGTCAAGAAACATTGGAGTTCCCTGTTTCCTAACCGAAAGCATCTGTCTATGTCTTCTCCCTGCACCCACTGAGTGTGAGCCTTGGGCTTGGGATACTTTAAGATCTCCATCCACTGTGATGTAAGGCTTTATAGTTGTGTTTATCTACAGACTTTTTCACAACACAGGTTAAGCAGATTTAAATGCTGAATCTGTGTTAAACAAGAACAAATTGATCATGGTTTGCCTTTCAGTTCACTGATTCCTTCATAGGATGAAAAGGTCCACACTATGGATTAGGGGAAGCATTCTCTCACTTCATGTGTCTGAGCAGCATTGGATATAGTGCTCATAAGAAACTTTTTGGAAGGGTTTTCAGTGTGATATGTTCCAAGCTGGAAAAACAGTATTATTGTACTTCACCCAAGTTTCAAAGGAGTGACTGACAGGTAAAAAATGATATCAATGGTATTTATCTGGTAATGTCAGGACCCTTGGCTGGATTGAGTGAACTCCTCATAAAGTAAGCTGGAAGGTGTAATTCATGTTATTAATAACAAAAACAGAGTACCCAGAACTGCTTAACTCCCATAAAATGCCTGGATAGCTTAAAAGAGCCAGAGCCGGGGGAAGGGTTTTCAAAAGAATTAAACCACTGTTATGGGGTGCCGTGGGACTCCAGAGGAGACCATTGGGTCACTGTCCCTGACCAGATTGCTGTTATGGAGGGAACTGTCTCATTAATGAATTCATCCATACGTTCTCTAAGTTGCTATCGAGTTCCTGTTGTATCAGGTCACATGTTCAGCGCTGGGGATAGAAAAGAGGAGAATAAAATACACCGTGAGCAAGTTACTAACCTCTCTGTGATCCAGTTTCATTATCAATAAAATGTGCCTAAAATCCCTCACCCTTGGTAGTGTTGAGAGGATTAAATTCTATAATTCATGAGAAGGGCTTTGAACGATGTTTGGCACGTGGTGAGTGCTCAAAAAAAGATTGTTTCCCCTGCTGCTGGGGCTTGTAGTATTGTTCTAAGAGCTCAGAGTTTCAGGCAGTGGTTCTTTTTTTTTTTTTTTCTTAAGTTTTTGTTTTAATTCCAGTTAGTTGACATAGTGTTATATCAGTTTCAGGCGTACAATATAGTGATTCAGCAGTTCCATACATGCCCTGGTTCAAGCAGTGGTTCTTACTGGGGAGGGGGTTCACCCCCCCACCATGGGGCATCTGACAACATCTGGAGACATATTTGGTTGTCGTGACTTGAGGGGGTGCTAGTAGAATGTGGTGAGTAGAGACCAGGGATGCCGCTAAACGTCCTGAATGCACAGGACAGCCCCTGGCACAGCAAAGAATTAATCCAGTCAAATGTCAACAGTGCTGAGGTCGAGAAACCCTGGAAGAAGAGGCACATAAACCAACAACTGGAATTTACTGCAGTGGAGCTATTTTTTTCCCAGTGTTATGGTGATATAATTCACATACATCACTGTATAGTTTCAAGGTGTACAGAAGAATGGTCTGAACATATATTGTGAAATACCGCTGTTTGCTTGGCATCCATCACCGAGTACAGACACGATGAAGAACAAAAGCAAAAAGAAAAAAAAAACATTTCTCCTTGTGGTGAGAACCCTCAGGATTGACTCTCTTAACACCATTCCTGTGTATCACCCAGCAGTGTTAGCTCTAGTCATCATGCCGTACTTTACATCCCTAGTACTTATGTGTCTTATAACTGGAAGCTGGCACTTTTTGACCACCTTCCTCTGATTCCCCCACCCCCACTTTTGGCCTCTGATCTCTTTTTCTATGAGTTTTTTGTTTGCTTTGTTATTGTTGTTGTTGTTGTTTTAGATTCCACATATAAGTGAGATCATACAGTATTTGTCTTTCTCTGACTTATTTTACTTAGCCTCAAGCCATCAAGGTCCATTCATACTCCACTGTGTATATGTACTACAACTTCTTTATCCACTCCTCGGTCCCTGTATACTTAGGCTGTTTCTGGGTCTTGTCTACTGTAAATAATGCTGCTATGAGCGTGAGGGTGTGTATGTGTTTTCAAGTTAGAGTTTTTGTTTTTTTTGGACATATTCCCAGAAGTGGAATTGCTGGCTCATATGGCCGTTCTATTTTTAATTTTCTGAGGAAGCTCCATACTGTTCTCCACAGCGGCAGCACCAGTTTGCATTCCCCCCAGCAGCGCACGAGGCTTCCCTCTTCTCCACATCCCCACCCGCATTTGTTGTCTCTTGTCTTTTTGATGATGACCGGAATGGAACTATTTGAAGTATATGAAAAATGGGGGCCCCAGTGAGGCAAACGGAGGTCAGGGAAGTTTCTGTGGCCATTTATCTCTTTTAGTCCTTACAACTGTTCTAGAAAGATGGTCTTTTGTCCCCATTTACAGATGAGGAAACTGAGGCAGCAGGCAGCAAAGTTACATGCTCAAAGTTGCCCATTTAGTAAGCAGAAGATCTAGGATTTACTCCTGGGCAGTCTGACCACGTATCCTAGGCTTTTAACCACCACCTATTCAAACAGAAACGTGGATGATGGGAGGAGGTTCATTCTGCAGGCCATGGATAAAGGGCATCCCAG